GTTTAAACAGGTCTTTAATCCTCTTTTTTTTTTTTTTTTGCCTTCCAGCAAAAACATTGCAAAATAACATGTGTTTGCAGGGCCGTGCTGTGAAACACATCAGAGATGTGGTGAAAGTTTTAAATAATTGTTTTTTTTCAAAGCCATAGAACAACTACATATAATATAGCATAACGCCGAATCAGCTCTCCTGCCCACTTCACAGCACAGCTCCACAAAACACTCATGGTAGCACAACCAGGCAGCTCCTGGGCTGTGAGGCAGGAACTACTTAGAGCAGAGCTGCCACCAAAGACTTCCTATCGCTGAATGATGGGCTGTGCACGCTGCTAACCCACTTGGAACAGAAACGCTCCCCTGTGCCAAGTCCCCTCGTGAGCATGGAGAGCCTGATGTGAAAGTGCTTTGTAGAAGCTTTTGCTCAAGCCAGGAAATCTGGGGCTGCAGGTCTGCTCTTGCATAGGGGCGAGGAGGTAGGACAGCTTATAGAATTAGCTCGTCCCTGCCCTTCCAGGTCAAGAAGGAATATGCTGCAGCATCCACTTGCCCTATTTACATATGACAAAACCACCACTAAATTGTATTTTTCACCACAGATTCCCTAAAATTCCCCAAAAAGAGGCAATGTCAAAATAAAAAAAAAAATTAAAAAAAATCAGAAAGAAGTGACTTGCTAAAGGCAGAAACAAAACCAGAATGCATGAAGTCCTCAGTCAAGAAACCTATAGGACCTCACTGCATACAATGGATCGCATAGATGACACCCTGGACACCAAATCCCCACACAAAGCAGCCCAGACTTTTTCTGCTACTCCAGTAGACACGCCTGTTTGTGTGACCAATGCCACTGAACTATTAGCAGCATTGGAGCAGCTCAGTTTGGGACAGAGCCCCAGCAGCAAACACCCTGACCTTGCCGAGTTACTGTACATGAAAGACACTAAGTAAAACAGAAAAGTCTGTGAGGAAGCAAGTACGTAGCCATTTCTGGCCACAAATTTACCAGCCTCTTCTTTTCCCAACAAGGTGAATGACAACGTACAGGAACTCTTCAGTTCTGCCTCATTCAAACGCTCTGAACTTCCAAGGCTGCTAAACCCTCTTCTGATATCTGAGTTCCCGTTCAAGTATAATTCAAGTAGATTAATTATGCCAGAGACAACAGAAAACACAGGCTGCCTCTTCAAATTATCACTAGACGAAAATACCATTAAGAGTTGAGTTTCAAGGATGCTGTTCACATTCACTCACTTATTTTACAGGCCTCGAGATCAAAATGAAAAGATAATAACTAATTGCTACAACTGGGAAAAGTAAATTGGGAAGTCCTTACCGAGTACACCTGTACACAATAATTTGAACAGCGGAGGTATAAGGAACACAGATTGCAAAAGCGCAATTAGAGAAGTGGAAAGTGTTACTCTGAGCAATTGAGATACTATGTTTTGATAACTAAGTTACCTTGGAGATGATTCACACGCACAAGTTGCTTAATGTCATTTTACGCTACAGGTCCAAGAGGTATAAAAATACACAATAAAAATCACTAGTAAATGAAACAGTATCCAGGACAATTACAAAGTAAATACATTTTCATGCCAGATTATTGCACTGAAGTTGAGGCCGTAATATTTCAACCTAAGCCCAAAGCACAGAAACCCCACATGGCCATCTCTCTTGTTGATGCACCAAGCCAACAGCACTGCAGTACTCTACAAGAAGACCTCCTCCTTCTCAAGTGAGCAAGATGCTGCTCTGGAGGAAGAAAGGGAGGTTAAAAATAAACCAAACCCACACCAACCCTCAGTCCAAATAAGTTCTTAGCCCACCTGAGCAGCACGACCACCACTAACGAAAGGGACTTCTTGGGGCTCAGGCTTCTGTGCAAATAGCTTCCAGGATGAAGTGCCTTTTGACGTGTATTTGTTCCTGCTGGGAGAGATACAGAAAAGATGCTTCAGAGAAGACATAAGACAAGGGACTGAGCAACACACACAATCAAAGGGAAATAGCTCGCTTGGAGGGTCTATGGATAATGCCTAAGCAAGGAACCATTTTTGGAGCTAGCATCAAAAGACACAGTAGAAAACTTCTCATTTTCATCTGTATAAATGCAAAAGGGGGAAGAAAAAAAAAAGGTGCAATCTATTGATTTCACACTGAATAAAGCAATTGAAGACTTAAAGATGGGACATAACAGCCAACAAACATGAAATCCACAGAATTTTAAAAACAGGATATAAAAACATATAGGCCAAATAGATGAAAAATTAGTTAACTCTAAGACCTCAAAAAAGTTCTCATTACTGAGTAATGTCACCGTGCAACTGCAATGCTCCTTTTGCAGTTCACAATGACTGGAACCATGCTCTTTTTTATTACCTACCTGGAAATAAGTATGCCCTTAATGGTAAAATTAATGAATTATATGGTTTATAATCATAGGATGGTTTGAGTTGGAAAGGACCTTAAAGACCATCGAGTTCCAACCCCCTTGCCATGGGCAGGGACACCTCCCACTAGAGCAGATTGCTCAAAGCCCCATCCAGCCTGGCCTTGAACACCTCCAGGGGTGGGGCATCCACGACTTCCCTAGGGAACCTGTTCCAGTGCCTCACCACCCTCACTGTAAAGAATTTCTTTCTAGTATCTAATCTAAATCTCCCCTCTTCCAATTTAAAACCATTACCCCTTGTCCTGTCACTACATTTCCTGACAAAGAGTCCCTCTCCGGCTCTCCTGTAGGCTCCCTTCAGATACTGAAATGCTGTTACAAGGTCTCCCTGCAGCCTTCTCTTCTCCAGGCTGAACAATCCCAGCTCTCTCAGCCTGTCCTCATAGGAGAGGTGCTCCATCCCTCTGATCATCTTCATGGCCCTCCTCTGGACCTGTTCCAGCCGGTCCATGTCCTTCCTGTGCTGAGGACTCCAAAGCTGGACACAGTACTCCAAGTGGGGTCTCACGAGTGCAGAGTAGAGGGGTAGAATCACCTCCCTTGCCCTGCTGCCCACGCTTCTCTTGATGCAGACCAGGATGCGGTTGGCTTTTTGGGCTGCCAGTGCACATTGCTGGCTCACGTTAAGCTTCTCATCCACCAAGACCCCCAAGTCCCGCTACTCAGGGCTGCTCTCTAGCCACTCTCCACCCAACCTGTATTTGTGCCTGGGCTTGCCACATCCCAGGTGCAGGACCCTGCACTTGGCTTGGTTAAACTTCATGCGAGTTGCACGAGCCCACCTCTCAAGCCTGTCCAGGTCCCTCTGGATGGCATCTCTTCCTTCCAGCCTGTCAACCGCACCACTGAGTAAGCTTCTCATCCACCAAGACCCCCAAGTCCCGCTACTCAGGGCTGCTCTCTAGCCACTCTCCACCCAACCTGTATTTGTGCCTGGGCTTGCCACATCCCAGGTGCAGGACCCTGCACTTGGCTTGGTTAAACTTCATGCGAGTGGCACGAGCCCACCTCTCAAGCCTGTCCAGGTCCCTCTGGATGGCATCTCTTCCTTCCAGCCTGTCAACCGCACCACTGAGTTCAGTGTCATCGGCAAACTTGCTGAGGGTGCACTCTATCCCACTGTCCATGTCTCCAACAAAGATGTTGAACAGCACTGGTCCCAGTACAGACCCCTGAGGAACACCACTCATCACTGGCCACCAGGTGGACATTAAGCCATTGACCACAACCCTTTGAGTGTGGCCGGCCAGCCAGCCAGCTCCTTATACACCGAGTGATCAATCCATCGAATCCATTAGTTTCCAATATTTTGACCAGGATGTCAGGAGGGACCGTATCGAACACTTTGCACAAGTCCAGGTAGATGACATCTGTTACAACATCTGTTGCTCTGCCCTTGTCCACCAAGAGTGTGGCAGTATCATAAAAGGCCACCAAATTTCTCAGGCATGATTTGCCCTTGGTGAAGCCATGTTGGCTGTCTCCAATCACCTCCTTATTTTCCATGTGCTTTAGCAGAGATTCCAAGAGGATCTGCTCCATAATCTTGCCAGGCACAGAGGTAAGGCTGACTGGCCTCTAGTTCCCTGGGTCTTCTTTTTTTCCTTTTTTGAATATCGGGGTTATGTTCCCCTTTTTCCAGTCTGCGGGAACTTCGCCAGACTGCCACGATTTCTCAAATAGGATGGAAAGCGGCTTAGCACCTTCATCCGCCAGCTCCCTCAGGACCCGTGGATGGATTTCATCAGGTCCCATGGACTCACGCACCTTCAGGTTCCTTAAGAGGTCTCAAACCTGATCTTGTTGTACTGTGGGCAGTTCTTCATTTGCAGAGCCCCTGTTTTTGCTTTCCGTGACTTGGGCAGTGTGGTTTGAGCCCTTTCTGGTGAAGACTGAGGCAAAAAAGTTGTTCAGTAGCTCAGCCTTATCCATATCCTGGGTGGTCAGGTCTCCCGTTTCCTTCCAGAGAGGGCCCACAACTTCCCTAGTCTTGCCTTTGTCCCTGTCATATCTGTAGGAGTTTTTCTTATTGTCTTTGATGTTCTTGGCTAGATTTAGTTCTGCCTGGGCTTTCACTTGCCTGATCTCATTCCTGACCACTCGGACCATTTCTCTGTACTCTGCCCATTCTACCTGTCCCTGCTTCCACCCTCTATAGGCCTCCTTTTTGGTCCTGAGCTTGTCCAGCAGTTCCTTACTCATCCACGCAGGCCTGCTGGCTATTTTGCCTGACTACTACTTTTTTGGGATGCACCTCTCCTGAGCTTGGAGGAGGCGATCCTTGAATACCAGCCAGCTCTCTTGGGCCCCTCTCCCCTCCAGTTCTTTTTCCCATGCTGTCCTCCCAATCAGATCTCCCAGGAGACCAAAGTCTGCTCTTCTGAAGTCCAGGGTAGCGAGCTTGCTGCAGACCCTCCTCACTGCCCTATGAATCTTGAACTCCACCATTTCGTGATCACAGCAGCCAAGGCTACCCTTGAACTTGACATTCCCCACCACCACCTCCTTGTTAGTAAGGACAAGGTCCAGCACAGCTCCTTTCCTCGTTGGCTTCTCAATCATTTGAAGAAGAAAGTTATCATCAACACATACCAAGAACTTTCTGGATTTTTTATGCCCTGCTATGTTATCCTTCCAACAGATATCAGGGTGGTTGAAGTCCCCCATGAGGACCAGGGTGTGAAAGCGCAATGCTGCTCCTACCTATCTATAGAGGGCCTCATCCTCCCTGTCACCCTGATCTGGTGGTCTGCAGCAGACTCCTACTGTAACATCATTTGCCCCTGTGGTCCCTTTAATCCTGACCCATAAGCTCTCCATCAGGTCTTCATCCATCCCCAGGTGGAGCTCCACACACTCCAGCTGGCCATTGACATAGAGGGCAACCCCCCCTCCCTGTCTTCCCAGCCTGTCCTTCCTGAAGAGTCTGTAACTCTCCATTACAACACTCCAGTCTTAAGAGCCATCCCACCACGTCATGGTAATGCCAATAAGACCATAGCTCTGGAGGTCTGCACACATCTCTAACTCCTCTTGCTCGTTCCCCATGCTGCCTGCATTTGTGTAAAGGCACTTCAGTTGGGTGCCCAATGGGGCTGACTTACTGGCTGGAATGGCTCCATTTCCTTTGTATTGCTCTTCAGGTGGCCTTCCTTTGTGGTGTTTTGTCAGTGATTCCTAGATTCCCTTTGCCTCAGGAGCCTCAAGGTCAGGCCTGATGTTATCACCCTCTTCTCCCTTCACATCTAGTTTAAAGACCTGTCAATCAACCCCACAATCTCTTGGGCCAGAACAGTCTTCCCCTTTTGAGAGAGGCATCTTCCATTTCCTGTTAACAAGCCCGGTGCCATATGGACCAACCCACTATCAAAGTACCCAAAGTTATGGTGGAGACACCAACCACGGAGCCATGTATTGATTGATTTGATCCGTCTGCTCCTCTCAGCATCATTGCCTGCCACTGGAGGGAGTGACAAAAAAAAGTATCACCTGCATCTCTCCTGTAGGCCCCCTTCAGACACTGAAAGGCTGCTATAAGATCTCCCTGGAGACTTCTCTTCTCCGGGCTGAACAGCCCCAACTCTCTCGGCCTGTCCTCTAGGACATAGCTCTAGCATAGGTGCTCCAGCCCTCTGATCATCTTCATAGCCATCCTCTGGACCCACAGCACGATAAATAAAAATACAAAGGAGATCACACAGAGTTATCTCAATTACTTGTCAAGCTGGGCTCCTTCCAGCCAAAGCAGTCTTAAGATATCTGAAGGCAGATCTATGTACCCAGTAACAAGGAATGCAGATAAGGCTTGCAAATCAGAGGACCATGACCTTAAGAAGCAAGGAGAACAAAAGGGACATGGAGGTCATCATAGCCATGCAACTAAACATCACGCTTGGAGCTTCTGTTGGTATTAAAAGGACTGTTGTTGTTCACGGATGCAAAGGTATGACAGCAAACAGAAATATTGAACGGGGTGGGATGGGGTATGCAGTGCTAATGAGTGGCACTGAAATACTGCTTGCAGTCCCATGGTTGATGCTCAAAAGATGATGTTGAAAATTAGAGAACATGCAGAGCAGGGGCGTAAAAACAATTAGCATCCAGAGGGGAAAAAAGCATTATGTATAATCAGATTTAAAGATTCAGCCCTTCTGATAAGCTACACAGACAACTGACAGCTTACTTGATCATCTTTAAGGAAAAAAAACCAACAATAAAACCCACTTTAATACAGCCACAAGAAGACTTAAAAGGGTCCAACAGATGCAAGTCAAAAGCATAGAGGATCCTGTTAGAAATTAGATATAAATCTGAACAGGGAGAAATGAACAGGAACAACATTCTTAAAGATGGATTCTCTTTTTCTCAGTATTTTCACTGAATTTCACTGAATTTCACTGAATTTCTAGAGTTGGAAGGGACCATAGAGATCATCTAGTCCAACTCCCCTGCTGAAGCAGGATTGCCTAGAGCTAGAGCA